ATTAAAAGCTTTTGAAAGAAGGAAGATAACTTGAAGACATCACCACCTTGGAACCACTTCTCCAGGGTCAAGGAAACAAGTGTTAATCCTGGAGCTTGTTGGCATCAGTCCCATTCCCACCAACCGGAACGTGGCTTGCGTCAGCAACTCGAACCAATTAGAGCTTCAGCAAATTAGGAGACTACTATGTGTACAGATTCTTTACACAACTTATTTCTTCAAAATAAAACATTCACTATTAACTTAATCATAGTCATATGTTATGAAAAATTACATACAACAGAATGTATGCCATTAATTCTGGACAATTTCAGCCTGCTTTTCCTTCTCTGCAAATTGCCTCTGCCTATTTTTCGGTAGCTCCTAGCAGATGTAGGCTGAATCTTCTTATCCTGAACTTACCTCTTAAATTCAAAAAATTTTTTGCTACTTTCTTTATACCTTCACTTCTATTTCCAGTTTGTTAGTTCCTCCTCCACCTCCACAAATCTATACTTGAATCTATTTGTCCAATGACAACTCAAATGAATATATTCATTCCTACATGTTCTCATGGGTTCTATTTATTTAAGTGCTTCACCTGCTTGATTTATGGCAGTGAATTATTATTATTGTACCGGGGACTGAACTCAGGACTTTGTGCTTACGAGGCAGTCAACAGAACCACTGAGCTAAACGCCCCGCCCTGCAGTGAATTATTTTATCAGTACCTGTTTGTGACACATAATAAATACATTCATCATAGGTAGTTGGTACATGTATGTGTTCCAGCTTAATCCTTTTTACTTCCCTTTCCCCTCTCCTTCCTCCATTCCTAGATTCCCTTCCCATCTGCAAAAAGATCTACCTCCTGGTTTTCTATAACCTATCATCTTTTATTTTGCTTTTTAAATTATTTATGCTTTGTAGTTCTCATATGAGAAACCATGCAATATTTAAACCATGATTTATTTCATGATTTCATCATGGCTTAAAGCTACATCTATTTTCCTACAAATGACTCACATGTACCCTTCTGTGTGGTTGGGTATTATGCACAAACACCACACTTACTTGATTCACTCATCTATTGATGGGCATATAGGCTGCTTCCAAGATTTAGCTATTTTCAATTGTGCAACTATAAAATAGGTATAATAGGTTCCTTTAAAAATCTACCCGATGGGCCAGGGATTTAGCTTAGCGGTGCCACCACTGCCTGCCTTGCAAGTGCAAGGTCCTGAGTTCAATCCCAGTACAAAAAATATATATAAATATAATAAATAAAAATCTACCCAGTCCCCCCTGCTGCCACCCATTTTGCAACTGTGGTTTTCATTTGCATTTTTGGGATCAGTGATATTGAGTATTACTTCATACACCTGTTGGACATTTGTATGTTTTAACAAATGTCAATTTTGCTCTATTGCCCATTATTTTAGTATTGAATTCTTTCTTATGTTTTGGATATTAACTGCTTGTCACTTATAGTTTGCAAATGCCTCTACCACTGTGTAGGTTATCTCTTTACTCTGTTTCCTGAAGCATTTCCCATTTTCTTTTAGCTTCATGTCTTAAAGTCTGTATCCATTTTGAGTTGACTTTTCTATTTGGTAAGGGACAGGGTCTAGTTTCATTCTTCTGTGTGTGCATATTCAATTTTCCCAGCACCGTTTATGGAAATGACTGTCCTTTCTCCCATGTATGTTCTCACACCTTCATTGAAAAATCAGTTGGCTGAAGATGCATGAGTCTACTGTTGAGGTCTCTGTTCTGTTCCACTGGTCTTTGAGGGTTTTTTTTGTTTGTTTGTTTGTTTGTTTTTCCCTGGCACTGGGGATTGAACTCAGGACCTTACACTTGCAAGCCAGACACAGTGGCTCACTGAGCTAAATCCCTGGCCCCTCTTTTGAGTCTGTTTTTATGTCAATACCATACTGATTTAGTTACTGTGGTTTTGTAATATATTTTAAAGTGAAGTAGTCTAGTGTTTCTTTTGTTCTTTTTTGCTTAAAATTGCTCCGGCTGTTTAGGGTTTTTTGTGATTCTATAGGAGTCTTAGGATTCGCTCATAGTCCTGTGAACAATGTCATTTGTGTTTTGGTAAAACTGCACTGAATTTGTAGACCATTTTGACTAGGGTGGACATTGTAACACTATTCATTCTTGATAAATATTACTTAAATCTATTTTTTATGTCTAGTTTTAAAAATATGTTTTAAAGCATCTATCTTTGTTACTCAATTATCTGAAATCCTTGGGGTCTAATTCTTGTTTTGAAAATCTATTTACTTTCACTCCACAATGAATTAATGTATCACTGTTTTGTAATTTATTTTAAGAGCATATTCAGTGGGGCTTTATTTTTAGGAAGCTCACAGATCCTGGATGGGAAGAGGATTTCTCAGTGGCCAGTGTTTGCTTCCATTAGTTATCTACTGGTATTTCTGACCTAGGTTCCAATTTCTATGTAATTTTTTCTTATGGTTTCATGGATATAAAAATTGAAATCTCAATTCTATTTGTGATGCTGAATCCCAGATGAAAAATCTTCTGGAGAAACATGATTCTTTACCTGGAGCCCAGCTTGTTTGTGCCATACCTGGGTTTTCTTAGTCCATTATTTCCCCAGTGTGGCCTCTACCATAAACTTCACTGCTCTCACAATCTGTCCCTGTCTGCTGCAGGCTCCTGGGGATTTCCCTCCCAGCTTGGTAAGATCAGCCCTGCTTATCTAGAAAAGCCCTAGCTTTTCTAGGTATTTGGGTATAGGGAAGACGGGATTTCAAGTTCATTCATCCCACCTCATGACTGGCACTAGAAAATCTCCATCAACAATCACAACGTGTAAAAATATCACGAGGCCAGGCACAGTGGCACATACCTGTAGTCCCAGCTACTCAGGAAATTCAGGTAGAAGAATGGCTTCAGCTCAGGAGTTGGAGACCACCTGGGCAACACAGGGAGAGGCCCTGTCTCAAAAAGTCAGAAATGGAAACAGATGTGTTTGAAGACTGAAATAAGAGCTAAGGTCTTTCTTTTACAAAGTACCTTTGATATTGGTAATGACACACAAATCAGAATTTTTAAAAAAGAGCTGGCTATTAATTAAGCTGTGGCAATTAACTGATTGTGTCAAATTGAGTATAACATCCAACTGTTGGATGGGAATGGTTCTGAGTGTGGCTGAAGGGATTTATTGAAGACAGAAGACCCATGCTGGGTGTGAGTGACAGCAACCAAGAGGTTGCTGCCCGAATACCATGAAGGGAAAATGAAGAAGGAAGGATCACTTGTTTCTTTGGAGGAGCTCCAGTGTTTACCTTCACCTTGGACATCATCTCCTGCCTTCCAGGTGCAGACCCTTCAGCCTCTTGATACAGACTTGCCCAGGACACGAGAGTAGCTCCAGACCCTCCACTGGATCCTTCAGATCTCCAGTACACAGAGAGCTCTTTTGTACTTTTCCACACCTCTGTGGGCTACCACTGTAAACCAATCTTGTAAGTTCTTATATATCTGTGTATCTTGCATTAACTCTGTTTCTCTAGTAAGCAGTGACTGATACAGAGGCTGATAAAAAAAAAAAAAGGATCCACAGCACAGGTGTGGGGGTTAAATGTTTATTAAATCAAGCTTTTAAATTATCCATCCACCTATGGTCTGTAAACAATTACAGTATACATGTAAGTAAAATCCCAGAAAATTCACACCGGTGGAAAAATCAGAGTTCCTTCTGCACACTGCACCTTGCCACAACATCTTCCTTGAGCCAATGCCACTGGCCATGTTATCATTAAAGAATTAAACAAAAAACCCATCTCAAATCCATCTCCTAGCATGGATTTCAAATAGGGATTTGTTCACACTACTAGGGTAGATGATAGCAAGGCAACAGTGTAGTTTTTACATTCACAGATTGGCTGAGATATTACATTTCTAATTAAGGTATTTCTCTCCCTATTACCATGATTAGTAAGAAATGTGAATCAAAATAAATGACAGACCATAAGTGGTTATAAAAATAGATTACTCGAAGAGTAATAAATATCTACAATTAGTAGAGCATAAACTTATAAAATTTACCTTTTTCCATAATGTGTAGGTTATTATAAAGTATGTTCAAGAGGTACAATCAGCAGACATTAGAGTGGGAAGAGGGCATTTGCAAAGAAAAAAACACTCCAGTTCAAAACTCAGAGTAGGAAGCTGAATGCAGATGAGAATATACAAAACACACAGAAACCAAACTCCTCACAGCACATTATCCTTAGTAGACACCACAATGAACTTACAAGCCCTTTTTATATCTTAAAAAGTAACTCTTTGTTACCTATGTACAAATTTAAAAAAATGTATCAAGAGAAGTAAAATTGATTGACTTAACAATGGCACTAAAACCACTGAAACTTGTAGCATTTTGTGTGCTTTCACACACTTCTGTGTAGGGAGTTTAAAATGTCCCCAAAGTGTCTCAGATAAGTTTTAAAATACCACAAAAATCTCTTCTATAGTCATTCCAGGTAGGGAAGGGGGGAAAAAAAAGTACCAAACCAGGGTGGGGAAGGGGAAGCAAAAAATCTCACAAATTCACGATGAATAGATAAGTGACATTCATGTGTTCTTTAAATACTTATGGAATGCTATGAAGGTAAGTGTGGAACACTATTCTGAAACCAATCTCATTTAAAAAGGTACAGTATTCCCATTTTAATTCTAGAATTAAAAGCACTTATCCACATAATGTGCGTTTCAGCAAGGTTGGCATCTACTTGGTTATATACTTGCCAGTGTCACCTTAAAGCCTCGTTAAAGATTTATGGCACACCTGAGCTGTGCAGTCCAGAACTAACAATACCACAGGTAGCTGTTCATCTTCATTTCTCACAGGGTCTACTTGAGCTGTCCAAATGTCACCTTCACCGACCGCAGTATTCCCTAGTTTCTTTGCCAAAAGATCTCCAAGGTCTAACATGTTTGGGGCTTGTTTGGTTAAGCAAACAGGTTCCACTGGCATCCTAACATACATTCTACACCTTCAAGAGGGGTGTGCGTGCAGCTTCTCTAAGTCACCTGACCTTTCAGGAGACCCTGGAACATCCACTGGAGCCAGGACACTCTGGGCAGATGGTCTGAGGCCACGTTACAGTGAATTTTCTACAGCAGTGGTTCTCACATTCTAGTGAGCATTGGAAACCCACAGAAGGGGGTTGAAACAGATGCCACCACAGAGGTTTGAGGCAGGGCTTGGCAATCTGCTTTTATTTTTCTGGTGCTAGAGTTGAACTCAGGGCCTCACACATGCTAAGCAAGTGTTCTACCCCTGAGCTACACCCCAGCCTTTTTAAAAATTTGAGGCAGGATATTGCTAAGGTGTCTAGGCTAGACTTGAATTTGTGATCTTCCTGCCTTAGCCTCCTGAGTAGCTGGGACACCAGGTATGTGCCACCACACCTGGCTTCCAAGTGTGCACTTCTAAGAGGCAAGCTGATGCTGTTGGACTGGGGAGCATGCTTGGAATGGTGACCATCGAGGCCTTGACCTACACAATTCCCAGCAGCAGGAAGCCCTCCTCTAGCCTCAAGAGAGGCTGCATGGACATTTGCCACAACCCATGAGATTGAGGTCAGGTATGTCTGGGCATGGCTTAGAAGGTCCTGCACCTCCTCAATGGGGTGAAAATGTGCTGCACTTGACTCTTTGTGCTGTCCCTGCTCACCCGGTGACCAGTGACTGCATTTTATAAGAGGAACAACGGCAGCCTCCTCTCAGGGATTCATGAGGTTTAAGATAAATCTGCAAAAAAGCACCACCTAACACAGAGCATCGTGCAGGGGTTTGTTGGAGGACCATGTCTTTCACAGCAGGAAAATCTCAGGTGAGTTTATAACTTCTGCGACTGCTGCATCTTTACAGAAGCACATTCTTGCAGCTAATGAAGAGAAAGGTGCCTAAAGAATGCAGGAAACTGCAGCAAGAGAAAATATGGATTTCTAATTTAAAACATCTAATTTCTGAAAAAAGATCAACCCACAATCAAAGTAGTTGATTATGCTGGCTTTTAGATAGTGTTTAAATATGGTGATCTTTGAACACATTTTCTCCTCGATTCACTCCACCATTTTAATGCTGGTTAAATTTATCATCAAAAAATGAGAACAAATAATTCTTCCATTAAAATACATATGAATTACACCTAAAAAATTTAGCTGAGATAATGCCAATCATATAGACTACATAGTGGGGAAATTTAAAATGCAACCTATTTAAAAAGGACATATAATTTTGGTTCATAGAAGCACTTGGAGAATAAACAAAGAATATATGTACGTGCACACACACACACACACACACACACACGCACACACACGTGTTCACTTGTGTATTAGTTGTTGTCCAGTGTTTAGCTGTTGGCCAATAATTGCCTCTCCTAATTAAAAAATGAACTTATAATAATTCATACATATCCACGATGAGAGTACAGTCAAGCAAACATCTTGTTGCCAAGTCTTGGCTTCCACATGGGAGAGGCAGAATGGTCCCCAGGCTCATACATGATTCACTTTAGGTGTGCTCTGGATGGCTCTGGAGACAGGACAGCATCTCTGAGATGGGTCTGCCTTCGTAGCAGATCTGATACACTGCAGTAAACAGTGGAAACCTGGGTGGGAGCAAATGGGAAAAGACAAGGTCAGGCCATCTGGTTTATCTCCTAGAACAGATCCATTTTTCTGTGTTGCTCAACAGTACAGTGAAGTACTGTATGCTACTTTGAAAACCACAGGGACCACTTTCTGCAGTCCTTTATTATTTGGTTTGCAGAGTGCAGAGCCTCTGTTCTGCAGTGCACTTGCCGGACCCTGGGACCACCTAGACCACCCTCTGCCTGGTAAGCCGGCAGCACACGGTCACACAAGTCGCATGGTTGGTTAACCCCCCTGGCACATGGTGGTTCATTTACAGAAAGAGTTGTGGCTCAGCATCACGGCCAAGTTTGGGGATGAATCCAAGTTTCTGTCACTGTTTTAAAAGATTGGAGAATGAATTTTTAATGGCAAGGAGATATTGCCCTCCCTTCTCTTAAAAAGGATCATCTGTCAATGACAATGAGGCAGCCTCAACATCACCATAAATAACCCAGGTCAGGAGCACTCCTGCAAGGGTCCAAGTTAGGGCTCATAGTTAGCAAAGTTAGATCTCATGCTGGAAGCCTGATTTATTCTGCCTTTTCTTCCACACAGAAGTGAAAGTATGAAATGGATGAAATGGATAAGGGTACAAAGGGGTGGGCTAATAATCCATCGCAAGAAAGGGGAATGAATATCCCAGAGTACAGCTGGCTCAGAAAGTTTTTTTGGGAGGGGCAGAAATTACTAGAGATATAATTTCAATAAGGCTTTTTAACACACACACACACACACACACACACACACACACACACACGCAAAATGAGCTTGACAAAAATCAATACAGCCACAAAGGCCACTCCGAAATTATCTGAGTAGAATCCTTTAATGACAATTTAAGAAAAAACAGTCCTAGGACATCATGTAACTTTATGAGAGTCCATCGTAGGAGGTTTTTAAGGTAAGGACTCCTCAGCCTGTACACTCTGGGCAAGTTTTACACAGCCTCTGACACGGTTTCCCCACCTGTGAAATGCGGCTGGGCACGTGGGCCGGTGTATCAGACGCCTTCCATATCAAGTGTATGTAAGGACCTTGGTAAGTTGGCTGGGCACGTGGGCCGGTGTATCAGACGCCTTCCATATCAAGTGTATGTAAGGACCTTGGTACTTACATACCAAGTGGGTGTGTGCAACGACAGCTTCAAAACACAGCCACAGGATGGGCTTGGCTCACGGACGGGCCTAAGCTCCCTGTGCAGAGAGCTGAGACCACTTTGTTCATTGCTGTACCCTCAGTGCCTGGCATAGTACCCAGCAAGGGGCAGGTCCTCAGCGAGTATTGGTTGAATAATTCTTGTGAATTCAACATAGAGCCTAGAAATTTCAGCTCTCCCACTTTTGTGCTTCCATGACTTAGTTGCCCTGTTCCTAAGATGAGAACAAAGTGTATGTCCCCAAAGCAGCATGGCACGTGCTAATTGGCTACCTAAAACCATTCCCAACCCACCTAGAATTATCCAAGCAACTAGTTCTTGCTGAGGATTCTGGGGAAGATATTTCTCTCCCTGAGAGGCACTGGAGGAGAAACTGCTACCCCGACTGTTCTCGCTCTTCCCAAGTGCAGCTGTGTGAGTGTCACACTTGGAGCTGCTGCTGCCACCTTGAGGTTCCAGGGGAGGCACAAGGATCACACAGATTCTCATCCACAGTCACGGAGCCAATGTCACCGAGTTCACCTCCATGCTCCCTCCACAGCTGCAAGTGCTTCCAGCTTTTAAAACCAGCATTTCCAAAATGTGTTCTGTAGAAGCAACGTTAATGAGCTGTGGAGGGTGTGTGGGAGGGGGATTTCTAGTCAAGAAACTCACTCACTCCTCCCAGCCAACCCATGCACAGGAAATGCTATGACTCCCCATTCTACAGTGGAGGAAGCTGAGGCATGGTCTCTGACTCGAAGCCAACACTCAGCCATAAACTACACTTCATTTAAATGTTATTTTTCATAGCATAAAATGCTACAAGACCAATTAGGTTTGTTTGGGAAATTCTCTAAATAAAGTTAGAGGACAAATGATAACACCTCATAGAAAAGAGGTGACATATGCCAAGCAGTCAGCCGTCCCACCAAGGCTTCAGGCCCAGTGTGTGTGGGGGGGTATAGGCTGTGAATAAGGCCCAGCCCCCAGGAGCCTGCAACACTGCCAGGGGCTACACCAAATCCTCCCCGCCAAGTTCACAGGCTGAAGTCTTCACCCAAGGGCCCTGGGATGGGCTGTCTGGACACCAGGCCTTTCAAGAGGCACTCAAGTGACAAAGAAGGCACTGCGGCACTCTTATGAGAGGACGGCCAGGGATACCAGATGATGTGAAGACACAGGAAGAAGACAGCCACCTACAAGCCAAGGAGAGAGCCCTCTGAAGACATGGACCCTGCCAACATCTTGGTCTCAGACCTTCAGGCTCCATGACTGGGAGAAAATACATTTCTCTTGTTCAAGCCACCGAGCCTGTAATGCTGCATTATGAGACAGCTGTAGTAAGTGAACACAAACACCTTATGTTCAGATGCGCTTACACACATGCACACACACAAAGGCTGCTACAGCAAACTTTATAATAGCAGAAAACCCTGAACAGCTTTAATGTATATTGAGAGGAGACTGTCTTAGTAAACTAGTTTCTCCATCCAGTGGAGTAATCCACAGCCATAAAGTAAGAGATCTCTGTGTGCAGATATGTCTGAGCTTCAGAACAAAACCCAGGGGGAAGAAAAGCAAGAGACAGAGTAGTTCACAGAGCCCCTGCCCACCATATAAACAAAAGGCCACGGGGAAAGGTACCCTAGAAACTGGGAAACTCCCACATCCACGGCGGACATCAAGACTTGCTTTATACTGCATGCATTTCTGCACATTCTAGCTTCCCCCTCCAAAGCTGAAGACTAAAAGTAAAATAATACATTTATATAAATGAGTACACAGCACACAAATGTCTATACTGTCTCAACTCAGGGTTGGCAAGCCACAGCCTCAGAGCCGCTTCTGGCCTGTCCCCTGTTTTTGTGTCACCTGTGTGCCAGGAATGAGATTTACATTTTTAATGGGCTGTAAAAGAAAAAAGGAGGAGGAAAAGAAGTGATGAGGCCTGTGTGTGAACTGCAAGGAGTAAAGTACTCGCGTCTGGTTCTTTTCAGAACACATCTGCTGTGCACAGGTCCACATGGTGAGTTCCCAGCAGGCACAGTTCCCTGTGGTGGGAGGACATGAAGAAGGCTTCTGGGTGGAGAGGGAAGGCTGCCAGTGAGGGCGCTGGGCTTGAGAAGTGAATCAAGAGGGGCACCCAGACAGACATACCCTGAAGACCCTTAGAGAGCTGGGCAGGGAGTAGCCACAGGCCGCTGCCCAAACACCAACCTGCAGGCTTGTATTTCATTCTGGAAGAGCCAGAGGCCTCCAAGTTGGAATGCTATGGTAGAAGAGATCATGGTGGTCATTTTCCCACAATTTTTAATTTGTAGACAAGCCCACTGGGGCACAGAATAGCTAAAAACATGACTTGCTCAAGACCACGTGGCTCTTATACCACAAGGTAGGCCTGAATGCTCCCCCTCTGCTCACTTCTTCTACAGCCCAGAAGAAGAAGAGGGTAGGGGATGAAAACATTAAGGTGAGAGCAGCACAGAGGGTGACTGCCAGAAGAACCTGGCCTCTGCCCATGCAGATCAGGAGGCAAGAGGGGCTGGAAAGGGTGGCCCTGGCATTGCCCCTCCAACCCTGAAGAAGGTGCTGCCACCTTGAGCCCAGCCTCACGCCATTCAGCACAGGTGCACCTGGCTCAATTTTTAGTCAGAAGAACTGAAAGGATATGACTGGGAGGTGTGTGCTCGGAGTAGCTTTACCTTACATCAGGCAGCCATCACCTGCAGCATCCCACACCCAGTGCCGTTCCTGCAGGGCTAATGACAATTACAGACCAGTGCCCGCCAACCTGCCCGTCCACAGAATCCTGACAAAGGCACCACTAGGTAGCACACAGAGGCCGCTTGAAAATTCTGCTTGGGAGACTCTTGCCATCACCAAACACCCAAGGATTTAAAACTAAAAAATTTCCGGAGCAGGTATGGCAGCACATGCCTGTAATTTCCAGCTACTTGGGAGGCTAAAGAAAAAGAACCACAAGTTCAAGCCCCAGCACACATTGTACTTAATCAATAAATAAAATAAAAATCCTGATAAATGCTCAATGGTTCTTAAGGTAGCCCTACCACATACCCACACGGTAGTGTCCACTAGGCAGGAAGGAAAACCACGCATGGCAAAGATGCCTGCCTTAGTCACAATTTAAGATCCTTTCCATCCTCTGGTAGCTTGTTTATGAAACTCTACCTCCCCTGGCTGGTTTTAAAAGCCATTTCAGAAAAATACAGTACAAATTAGTGGGAAGATTAATGCTCCACCCATTTGAAATTTTCCATGGGGAACTCTGTGGCTGCTAAATTTGACTGGGTAAGAGGATGAAGGGAGCTCGGTGCAGGGTGAGGTGGAGGTGCAGGGTGAGAACCGGTAGACAGTTGGACTGAGCAAGAGTGAAGGAGATGCCCCCAGGGACATCACCTGAAAACCATCTCCTGGCTTAAGAGAAGTATACACTCTAGATCAAGTCCCAAGTAGCAGCATCAATAGAGCTTCCCAGCACACTGCAATCCCAGACAGAGAAACTTCCTTCTCCCAAGGAGTACTAGGGGGAGGTCAGGAGATGCAGTACCATAGTTTGGATATGAAGTGCCCCAAAGGCCTCTGTGCTAAAGGGGCGGTCACCAGCTGTGATGGAAGCTTTAAGAGGAGGGGCCTAGCGAGAGGCAGCTAAGTCACTGGGGGTGTGCCCTTGAAAAGGATATGAATCCTGGCCCCTTCCTATCTCTCTTTTCCTCCCAGTCTCCATGAGGCGAACAGTCTCCTCTGCCGTATGTTCTATCCAAGATGTACATCGCTGCCAAAGTCCCAAAGTGATAGTGCTAAGTGATCATGGACTGAAACTTCTGACACCTTAAGCCAAAGTAAACAATTCCTTCTTATGTTGATTTATCTTAAGTATGTGTTACCTTGACAGAAAGCTGGCCAAAATGGTATGCTGTGCAAGGCTGAATAAGGTGGTGCTGGCATCACAGTCCTGGGGAGGAGCTTAGTAACTCAGCAGGATGAAGGGTTGTGTGAGGCAGGGCCAGACAGTGGCCTCGGGAGGTTAGGTGGCTTGTGGTGCTGCAGGGCTTACTCCTCAATCAGGTGGTCAATCAGCTGACCAGCCCACCTTACCCAGGCCTGGCCCAGAAGGGAAGAAGAAGACAAACCCAGCTGGCCAGTCATCCACACAACACAGAGATGGCAAGGCTGACACCCAGCCTTCTCCTCTGGACAGCAGAATTCTGGGACAGCTTGTCTTTCCTTGTTTTCTGAATTGTCTGATATTTTATTCACATAGCTTTATCTTTTTATTTTAAAAAAAGTAGTTATTTTTTAAAAATTTAAACTTATGGCATGTAGCTCTTCCTGAACGTCCTACAGGACAAACTAGAATCTTTATTATACTTTGATAATCCTTATAGATCTTCTCACTGAAGTTGAGGCTTATACATAGCTTTATCTTTTTATTTTAAAAAAAGTAGTTATTTTTTAAAAATTTAAACTTATGGCATATAGCTCTTCCTGAACGTCCTACAGGACAAACTAGAATCTTTATACTTTGATAATCCTTATAGATCTTCTCACTGAAGTTGAGGCTTGTACTGGGTAAACACCTGTATTTGGGGTAGGTAGGTATTTCCCACCACAGACATTCACATCACAGAGAAGACTCAAGTAAACGAGTAAAGTTCTAGGTCCATCTGTCAAACAGTGGCTCTCCTCTGCTGGGAGCTGCCGTCACAGATGATGGCGGGGAGTGGGCTTACTTGTCAGTGAGTCCCTTCTGTTTGAGGATGCGGTATACTTCCGCAGAAGTCTGAGGTCCTTGGAGCTTCTGCCCATTTAGCATCTCCTTCTCCAGCTCTTCAATGGTCTTAAAAGCAAAGTATAAGAACAATCCAGAGTAAAGAGAAGAGAACCATTTATTTCTAGAGGAAATACGGGGAGGAGGGCTTCAATCCCTGCTGTAATCCAAAGAAAGATAACGACATACAAAGACCAGAGGAGTCCCTTGAAAGCACTCAGGTGAGCAAAGAACAGGGACAACACTGACCTTTGAGGGGAGGAGACAGAGGGATGGGAGTGTGGGGAGCTACCTTTCCCGTTCTGGCGAATGCCTCTGCCACCCTGCGGTTCCGCCCTCCGTAGCAGGTGGTGATCAGGTCAGCCACCCCGCAGCTCTCCAGGAAGGTGGCTGTGGACACCTGGCCCTTGCAGAAGAGCCTGGCGAAAGAGATCATCTCCATGAGGCCCAGGCGGATAACGGCAGCTTTGGTGTTGTCTCCGCAGCGGAGGCCATCACAGAAGCCGGCTCCCACGGCGACAATGTTCTGCACAGGAGACAGTAAAGCCCGGGACGTCGTTATGACACCCTGTGGGTGAGGATGCGGGGTGGGGTGTGCATGGAGGACATGGGCTCTACCTTAAGGGGCCCAGCCCTGGCTCTCCTGTATCAGGGCAGAAGACAAAAGGGACAGGCCTTGTATGCTCCCATTTACAGAACAAAGGGGTACAGGCGCATCAGCCAGAGACTCACAATGGCTGATAACAGTCTTGGGTGAAACACAGTTTGGACAGACTACTTTGTCTTTGGGTTGTTTTATTAAAACTGAATGCACTCATACAGAAAGTATACAAAATGTACTGCTTGATAAATTTTCGCAGTATTCTGAACATACACACAGGGCCAGCTCCCTGACCCCCAAATACAGTGCAACCTGTGCCCCAGAAAGTTTGCCAGGGGCGGGGGAGAGGATTTAGCTCAGTGGTTCGGCTGCCTACTTTGCACGTGTAAGGTCCCCAGTTTGATCCCCGGGACCCCTTTCAGACACCTCCCCCACCAAAGGCCACCAGTGTCTTCACCTCTCACAGCACAGACCAGTGTTACTTGTCTTTAAACTTTCTACGTGTGAAACTGTTCAACAGGCCATCTTTTGTGTCTAGCTTCTTTGTCTCCATTTACATCAGGGTTGTGAGGTGCATTCACATTTTTACAGATAGCACATTCACTCGAATTGCTGCACAGTATTCCACAGGCTGGCTAGAGTGTGATTTATTCATCCCCTCTTCTGCCAGTTGGCACGAAGTGTTTTGTGCCATAATAAACACCCTGGTCCACTCTGGGGACTCATGCAGTTCTCGAGTGTGGCTCAGGAATTGAAATGCTGGTCTGAGTATGCGCAGCTCAGGGTTCAGCTTTTTGTTTGATTTAATAATCTCTAAGTGAATATTTATGAAGTACTCACTCTGCATGGCCTCCGCTGGGCACAGGCAAATTAGACACAGAGCCTGTGCCTTCAGGAGCTGACACATGATCTGAGGGACCACAGACTGCTTTTGTATGCACTGTTTCATGGGAACCCAATCACACCCACTCATTTCCATACGTGGGCGATGCTACTGAGCTATCACAGGTAAGTACAGTTACCCTAGAGTCCATGCAGCCCACAAAGCCTAGAACATTTTCTACCTGGCCCTCATGGGAAGAAAACGTCTACCTGTCCCCCCTGCCCCTGGAAAAATAAAATGTGCACAAATATAATACTATAATAATTCCACAGAGGGTACTGGAAAGTTGAAATTTCACTTCTACATGTGTGTGCCCAGCATGGGACTAGGCCCTGGGAAGCTGCTGGAACACAGGAAGAGGGGGTCCCCTGGGAAAGGTGCAGACAGAACGAGACAGAGCTTGTCCTCAAGGACTGTCAATCTGGCTGAGAAAAGACAACAATGCACACCACAGGACACAAGGGAGAGGGCACGGCCAGCAAGGCCGAGCTTCATCCCAGAGCAGGGAAGGCTTCGAGGATTCGAGGAGGAGGTGGCGGCCTGTGAGCTGGGTCTTGAGCGTATGTAAAAGCCAGACTACCACACAGGACAAGGAATGTGCTCCCGGCCACACAGGTGGCACTCACATAGCACTCCCGTGGAGCCCAGGTTCCCAGTCCCTTCCATTTCACCCGCTGCTCCACTAAAACACTCAGTGCCAGCAAAAACACAAGTATTTTGACTCCGTGCAACCACGTTGGCATTCTGCAGTGTTACCTGGTGACTCTAACAGGGATTTGTGCCTAGGAATATCTTAAAACATGAAGCAAGTTGGGAACAAATGGGCAATAAGTGAAAATAAGTGCATTTTTTCCTCAGGAAAAAAAAAATCCCAGCTTATTACCAAAATATAAATTCTCAAAACATCAGAACTATAAAATCTGAAGGATGAGTAAAAAGTGGGATGAACTGAAGAGTGAAAACATCTCCTCTGGTATACAGTTTTTCCTTTTCTTTTGTTTTTTGGTCTTGCTATATAGTCCAGGCTAGCCTTGAACTCTCTACATAGCCCAGGCTATCCTCAAACTTGAGATTCTCCTGAATCAGCCTCCTGAATGCTAGAATTACAGGCATGAGCTTGGCTCTCCTGCAGCTTTGATGCACTGTGATGAAGCCAGCCCTGCGAAGGCCAGGTTCACCATGAGAAGCAGATCTGGTCAGGCAGGCACAGAACAAAGAAGGCTAGAAAAGAGAAAGTGAGAACGGAAAGGCCCAAAGTGGGTTGTGTGCTCTGCCTAGGGACACAGTCAGCTGGCTGTGTTCCTCTCATTGTCAGTGGAAAAGAGAAAAGCAGAAAAATTCTGTAAATGATCAGAAAGCTGACAGGAACTCATGCAGGTTTTGGACAAATTCATGCTACTTCTTTGTCTCAGATCATGGATGGCGAACCTTTTAGAGCTTTCAATGATACAAACAGCCTGCTGTGGCACGTGTGCCGCAGCTGTTCTGGCCCATCTCTCAGGAAGGGTATGAGTTCCAGCCAACGAAAGCAGTAGCTTCCAAGCTAATCACTCTCCCCTGACGTGCTGGGGGCAGGGGGCAATCCCTGCCTCTGTATCTGCAAAGGCTCCCCAACCCTTCCACCACAAAGGCAATGTAGAGTGTAGGTCTCGCCCACCCCCAGAAGCATCATCCCAAACTACCTGACACACGCACAGTGACAGCAGAGGTGGCAACTCCTGGGTTAGTGCACTTTTTTAAGGCAGGGTCTCAATATGCTGTTCATGACCCTCCTGCCTCAGCCCCTAGATTGCTGGGATTACAGGTGAGCACCATCGCCTGGATTCTCAGTGCATTCTTCATGTCTGACAGCACCGTGTTAGGAGGGGAAGCAGTGTGAAAGGAGCCCTCGGAAACACTGGCATGCTGTGGTTCGGCAGCTCTGCTCTGGAGGGCCGAACTGCCAGATCAGGAAGGAACCCGGAACTTCAGGATGGTGTCACACAGAGACTAAGAGCTGGATCAGCCAGGCCAGACACCCCTGCTAGCACCATAGCCAGACTCCAGCAACCACAGGAGCCACAGGGGATGCACTGCATTGACACCCAGACGGCCTCACTGCTGTGTGACCCTGGCCAGTCAGTCTCTTCTCTGGGCCATCTTTGCTTCAGATGTAAAATTTAGGGCTTTGACAAGATTTCAAAATCTTTCTGGGAGTAACATTTCTCTAGGGAAGCTGGTACATTATATCCTGGCCTGGGACTACAGAGGGTGCGATAGTATGGGACAACAGGGTGAATCCTGGAGATGGGGGGAGCTCTAACTGTAGGAGCTCTGAGGTCAGTTAAGGAGAGAATGGTTCTATTAAAGTAGCCATGGCAATGGCTTCACGGAGGCTCACTGGCCAAGTGGTGAGGCTGCTGGACCTGCTCTCTGATACTTCTGCATTGTGTCCTGTGTCCCCATCAAATCACAGTGTGACCCTTTAGTTATCTCACAGCCAGGCCCAGGAATTGTCTAGAGGTTGACTGAGTGAATAGGGACTTCAGCTCAGCTCTGGCTCCTGCATAAGGAGAGGGCCACTAAGTGCTTACAGCAAGCTGCACTGGGCCAGCTGCACACTCAGTAATGCTCAGGATGTGCTGAAATGTGCACCTGTCCTCCTATTTCTGGGCTGGCACAACCCTGGCTTGCTGAAAACTCTGCCCCATAAGAGCTGGAGCCAAAAAGAACATGCCCCGAGGGCCTGGCCCACGTTGCTCCTTTGTGCTTTGTGCCTGATGCTTTCACAAGGTGGGAAACTTGTGCTCCTCCTCCTGGGTTCAGAGAGGCCTAGCCATGCCAGCCACTACAGTTCCACCTCTGCCCCCCCGTAGAGGCTGGGAGGTAAAAAAAAGGGGGGGCAGCTAGGCAGTAGAGATGACACCAGGGAGAAAGAATAAGAATGGCAATGGCTAACCTTCCTGAACTGCTCTAAATGCTTCTTCACACATTAGCAAGTCATTCAAGCTTCACAAGTGCACAAGGCACACATGTGCACGTGCATAGTGAGAGAAGGAGACGTACCACACCCCACCGTGCTGCCGAGGGCCAGGGAGGCAGAGCCACAGAGGCGGCTGCTTCAAGTCCAGTTAAAATCCTAACAGGAAGCACTGGCCCACCAACCACAAGATCTGATGGGAAACACTCTGGCCGTGCAGCAGCCCAGCAGGGCACTATGGGCACAAACTGTTTTCATCACAGCATTCAGACAAGCATGCAGGCGAGGAGGCAGGGTAGGCAGTGAAGGTGCCTGGGGACCTCTCAGCCCCTGCGTGACCCTTCACTGCGAGGCACATGGATCTGGACCACCACCGGAGAGCAGGGGAACCATGTCAAAGCAAACTCCCTTCTCAGAGGTCTCTGGACCCCCACCCAGTTTAATCGCCTTGTGGTGGATCCTGAAATCTTTATTCTCTCCCTCCACCACTTATCACCGTCAAAAGAAAAATAAGCACACACAGCCAGTCAGAGTGTGTTTGAATAGCGTTCGAGCAGATGTCCTCTGAGATCACTGGGCTATGAAAGTTATCATTATCCACTGCGCATTTAAATCTGCTTTAAACTCTTTGCAGCTAAAAATACCGTGAATTTCAGAAGACAGACGTGCTTAAGCCCTTCCTTATTTCCTTGGTTAGGGCAACGCTCAGGCAATCACCCACCACCAAGTGCAGACTGTGCAGTTCTGAACTGGGGCACAGTGCACAGGACTCAGTTCCTCTTTCTCTCCTACCATCCCATGAGAATAACAGAACAGCACAGGATCAGCCCATGCTTCTTCCTGCACTACCACCTGGGGAGGATTTCCCCGCTGGCACCCGGGCAGGATCCACTGCTTTCTGCCAGTCTAGCAGACTCTCCCCGGGGCCAGCTCCTAATGCACTTGGCCTCCGAGGACACACTATCTGTGAGCATGGGGTACCTGGGGCAACACACCACCCTGTTTGCAGAGGCTCGGCAGAGGTGCCAAGGGGGGTCAAAGTCAAGCCCACATTTGGCCCACTGAGCTGGGCACACTGACAGG